ATATACATATACATATATACATATATATAAATAACATATATATGTGTATATATGTATATATATGTATATTATGTACGCTTATGTCAAAAGTCTTGGGACACTATTGCAGTAGGCCTAGATATATATATGACCTGCTGTAACGTGTATGCATAGATAGCCTACTCCCGGAAGCCGAAGAGTTTGCACTTGGTACATGACTGTGTATTTATATAATCCATTTGATTATATTTAATTAATTGAAATACTAATGATTTTCAATCTATACAGGTATTATCGCCTGGGGAACAGACCACAAAATTACCGGCAATCTTGTGTCTCTGACAGTATTCCCCGGTACCTACCAAGATCGCTTTTTACTAGAAGATAAAACTTGGCCTGCTGGTATTGAAGTCCAAATGTCGTTCGGCATAATTCTAGCTAATAACACAGTTGCAGGCTCAGAAAAACTTCTGTACCGTGTGAGCGGTGAGAAATGCTTCGAAGAAAAAGTGTGGGAAAATAATGAAGGTCATTCATCATTAGGCGGGCTCATGATGCTTCCACCTGATGGTCATCGCCAATGCTCCATGGTCAGTAATTTCTACCTCTGGAAAAACTGGTTCTACGGAATATATCTAGAAACAACTTGTTCTCTCGTCGTTTCTGAAGTGATTTTGGCCGATAACAAAATTGGCATTTTACCATACATCTATAGACCGCCCGCGATCAGTCATGACGTCTCTGAAAAATCTTTTACGATAGAAGACTCGTTCATTATTGGTACTAGTCCATTCTTCGATTGTGATGAGTGGCAGGTAAATGCGTACGTTTTTATTTCCTAACGCTCTGACCACACTTTCGAATTTTATGTGATGAGTTTGTGCTATGTGCACATATGTGGGCATGACGATGATATTACACCCAAATATGGGCACATCACATTTATTTGTCACATGAAATTTCATAGTGTAGACAGATCCTAAGTGATACTCAGTATAATTATATTATAACACCCTCAGATGTCTCAACACATACTAAACTTAGAACTCTTGATTAGAAAAAACCACTAAGCGTACGTATTCTATTATTGCATCTAGTTTCCGCTAAGCTCCTCCCCTTGGATATTGTTGCTAATGTCTCACTCACATGCGTCTTTGTGGTACAACACGTGTGTTTGTGATGCACGTGCGTATTCCTCGAACTGTTTTGATTGGCCAGTTGTTAAGTTTGATTGACACTCCGGAAAGGTTTATAATTGATCATTATGGATCTTTACGTAACTTTAATATTTAATTCCAGTAATTGTTGCATAATATGAAGATTAAGACCGTCCGTTCTAGGCCTAAAATTTTGATTTGTGTAATTTATCATAGTTTTTACCTTGTTTTTATAGTCCTGGAATTGGAAGCATAATAATAAATTTTTTTGTTTGAAGTATCTAGCTTTAAATTGTCAATTTCATCAGTATTTTCATTAACTGTGTAAATTGTTACCAGCGCACTTATTAAAAATTTTAGTTTGTGACCCTTTGATAGATTGTAAATAATTAATTTTTGTAGTATTGAACCATGGTAATTATATTTAACCAGCAATCCATAACTCTGTACATTTTCATTATATTTGTGTTTAGAATGAACCAGAGAATGCAAATCAATGTACAGGTGTACACGCACCACCTCTACCTCCGGGCGGTGGCAATATTGGTTTTATGATGACAAATTTCATGTCAGGCTCAAACAATGCCCCAGTCAAAGCATTCCATGGTATAAAGAACTACCCTGCTATAAGTGGCATCACCCAGTTGAAAGGTATGGGTATAATCCTAATTATTTATGGCTTTGTTGTTCAGTTAACTATAGGCTTACCATTGTATTATACGTGTTGATGGATTAAATTAATGATTATTAATAATAAAATTATGATTTTAAAGTTACGATGACTTGCCACAAGTTTTTATCTGGCTGTTTCAATTACGTTCACATTAGACATACCTAATATATAATAATAATAATAATTATTATTATTATATATATATATATATAATGTATAAATTGTACCATAGTTCATCATGAAAGTTCCTTCTTAGTTGTAGATATATATATATATATTCCATATAGTGTGAAGATGTTTGAAATATATAGCAGCGTTAGTAATTTCATATAGTATTTAGTTCTTAATCAATCAAATTCACTAATGTCATCTGCGTTTTTTTTTTTTTTTTTTTTTTAAGGTATAACATTTGCCCATTTTCAAGAAGGTTGCTCAGCCCGTGATTATAGCATAGCACCAAACAATGGCAACCAAGATGGAATCCATCCCTCAACCGCCACAGGAACATCATTTGTTAGTGTTGATAAAAGCAGTAGGGTCTTTTTTTTCAGGCCAAATGTTCAGTAAGCTATGTTCACTTTATGACGATGTAGGTTTAACTGTGCTATTTTCTGATCATGACTCATCAAAACCACTCATTGTAATCAGAGCAATATATATTACATACCTCATTTAGGTAATTAGTATTTGTTCTATGTTATCGTGCGGTCTTCTACCTGCCCATGTAATCTTCAATTAGTCATATGTGATCCTCCTTTCTACTCAAGTGATGACAATTTTAAAGACCGCTCATTATTTTATTGATACATCAATGTGTTTAGGTCTCTAGCTAAAAGACTCACCTCTTAATTATCTCCATTTTTAATTTTTTTTTCATCAGTTGCATTATTTATTTATGATTCCGAACATTGCCACTGCTTCTTTTGATTTGTTTACTTGTTCTGTGCTTGGGTTAGGTAATTATCATGACTGCCTGTGGGTTGTGAGCTGCCTAATAATGTGGGGTGCAGCGCTTCGTATCTGTAAAAAAGGCACTTTACACATGAGTTGATTAGATTGGATTGGATTAAATATGTAATACTTTGTTTCTTAAATTTTTGCAATGTTAAACATTTTTGTTTGTTGCAAAATTATTGTCAAAACTTAATATTGTACTATTTATATTTACATACCATAGTGTACTAAGCTTCAATTTTATTCACAAAATCAGCTGGTAGATAATTCAATTGATTGATTTTTGTAGTTACAGTATTTATTGAGTTATTGATTTGTTAACAGCACTGCAAATCCTGCTGACTGTGTTGATATGACCTGCGATGCCATGCGTAAAGTCTTCATCAAGGATTTGGACGGAGGTATCCTTGGAAGTCCAGGAACAGTTATTCCAGACTCCGCATTTCAGTGGGGCGGAGATCCACGGTATGGTCTTGGTGACTACAGGATCCCAAAAATGATGGTAACGAACACTGATGGCAGTAGAATTCCTTATGAGGAAAAGTGTCCACACAAAGGTAAGTAGAAGATTGAATGTTGTCTACCATAGCTTTTTTTTTCTGATACCATCCTTTAAACAGATCTCTCTCTCTCTAATTGGTTACCGCCAATAAGAAAAAAATAAAAAATAAAAAAATAAAACTTTCCTAGCTATAACCCCTTATGAGCAACTGGCTTTTATCTTTATACTATTTTGTTTCTAACTCGATACCAAAGCTGCTAAAGACCCCTGTCACAATAGTAGTTTTAAGTTGGAGGGAGATCTCTATTTACATTGATTTCACACCTCTTTTTTCCCACTATAAAGTCTCATGAAAATAATCTAATCGTACACATTATTTGTCCAGTAATTTTAATCCACTCTGTATCTGTGGTATGTTATAAAATTATATTATATCCATTATAGGTAAATTATTATATAGATACACACATTGAATGTGTAATAAGTAAATGCTAAGAAAAACATCATAGTTGTTTTTAAAACAACTATGATGTATGCATTTATCTTGTGATCAAGGGCTTCAACATTTATATATAATGTTACATTGTTACTAGGTATTATTGGAACTGAGGACTGTACATGGAATGCTGACTGGCAAGCATATGAATGTCATGATCTGGATTACATGATGTTGATTATTGAGAGTATGGACCCAGATACTGAAGTACGTCGCTTGTCACCGATTGCAATGTATTCAGAAGGCTATGTGGATTTGATCAATGGACCACAGGATCATGGCTGGTGCCACGGTTACACGTGCCAGGAACGAATTAGCACGTTTATGTCTGTTGTGGCAACAGGGAAGCAATATGAAATGTATATGAGTAGTACCAACCCCCAACGTCTTCGACTGCATCTTCTGAATGCTACTCCAGAGCAAAAGGTTGTGGTCGGTATCTGGTATGCCAACCCTCAACGATTGGATGTCTACTATCAAGGACTATACATCATGCCAAACAATGGTAGAATTGATGGTGGATCATTCATATGGGTTGATAAGGACCCCAACTTGCCAGATGATCAGTTCCTACCGACTCCAGCATCGAATATTTATGGAGAGAACTATTTTGACCGAAAGTTACAAACGCTCTGGGTTTTAGTGCGAGGTAACCAACCTCTAGATATCATTACTACGCCGGTAATTATGGTCGCAATTGGGGTGCCAGCAGTCGCTGTTGATGACTTTTTTGAAGAAAATCTTGTCCAAAATCTGGCAAATCTTCTGGGAATTGATAAGTCTCGAATACGAGTGGTGGACGTCGTCAGAGAGGGCAGTTCGCGCCGGCGAAAGCGGTCAGATGATTCGGTAGCTGAAGTGGTACTTGAAGTTGGAAATGCACCGGCGACATCAATTGAATTAGAAGGAAACTCTACTCTGGATGCCAATATTACTGACTCATCGTCATTTGGTAATTATTGCAATTAATATTAAATGCATTGGGCAATAATAATATTAAGCCTACGATTTTATTCGCACTACTACATGCCATAATGATCATTTCCTGTATAATTGTCATTATCATAAGCATGCTTTATTTCACCTCCAAAGTACAAAATACACTCTCAACAAATTTATCAAATGGTAGAAATCTCGGTCTCGATAATTTTTCTTGCGCCATTATTATTTATATTCATTATTAAACACTTCATCTTTATTAGCGTTCTTGCCGTAGTCATTATCAATCATTGGCAATAGTCAAATTTACAAATTATTGTAGTTATTAAGAAAATCCTAGTTATTATTTAAGAAATTCTAAATACATATAGAATCAGTCTTTTTTAAAATTTAGATCTATACAAAAATACAATATAGAATGATAGTTTCAATTCACGAATTCGATTGGGTGCTTACAGTGGTCTCAGAAGACTATGTCCACATAGCGTTTATTTTTTTAATTATTGAACATGAACGACATATTATTATTATTATTATAATTAACTAAAACAAACACGTTTCTTCTGCCAAAACAATATTCCATAAAACGCAAGAAATATTTGTTGTAGCAAACATTGGTTTACTGTCATAAAAATTAATTTAGTTTCGAATTATTTGATAGATGATTTTTTTTGGGGGGGAAGAAAGATATATATAAGAAAAACTTACTCAAAACTTTACGATCTATCTCAATGATCCTTGTCAAATGACAGAATAGTCATAGGGTTATCTGTTGATGACATCGTACGCATCACATATTTGTAGGTCGGAGGTTGTGCTCAACTGACCAAAATCGCACATCATCTATCTTATAGTACAACTGGAGGAAACGTACCTCATCAACAACTAACGTCATAAGTCAGGCTGTAGTAAAGCCAAGCATTCAGTTGATGAAAAATATCTCTAATGTCGAAACGTTCAGAGTATTTTCTTGCATTTTGTCAGGAGGGGCGCCAGGATTTTCCCGACGGAGTCGGATGTTTCCGACGAGAGCAAGGTGGGCATGGTCGGGCATCGCTCAAATCTTTGGAATGTGGTCCTGTCTAATATGTCAAATAGGCACATATATTTTTTTCTCCCCGATAATTGTGGTTTTTTTCTCCCCCATCTGGGAGGGGTGGAGGCGGGGTGGGGAGCTCAACCAGACGGGATGAGGGCTGCTTCTTCTTCCCCTGGCCTCCCGCTGGCGCCACCCCTGATTTTTTACATAAAAACATATTATCGTCCACCATCATTTTTTTATTTTATGTAACGGATGAAATAATTTACAAAGCCACATAATTTTTATATGTCTATTTTTTATAAATCACCTTTTTATCTTAGCTAACTACACTGAAGGCAATTCCTCCCTTGGATTTAATGATCTAGTTGCAATCCAGGCACAGATTGTTGATGCTGCTCAGACTGGTGAACTTGGAAATAGTCTAAATGTCTCTATTGAATCACTGTCAATGTCAGACCCAGTGGAACCAGCTACTGACCCAACAAATGGAGAAAGAGCAACAAATGAAACTGGTGGTTCGGAGGAAGGAGATACACTGTAAGATTTACAACACAAACATTAGAAATTATAATTGTTGGCCTCGCTGTTTAATTGAAAATTAATTTTAAAAGTACTGTACTCTTAACTGTGAGGATCGCATTGGCGATTATAAACGTTCTCTTACAAAGGCTCTTTTAGAGTAAACTATATTACTGGTACTGGTATGGGTATTTATAATGCGCCTCTTCCTTTCGGTTATAAAGCGCAGTTCTTTTCCCTGGTCATTGGGTCCACATGCTAAGTGTTGCTGCTGGTAATCAGCGCAGGAGCAGGCAACCCCACCAGGTACCCATTTATACTCCTGGGTGGAGAGAAGCAATGCAGATAAAGTGTCTTGCTCAAGCACACAAGCAAAATGCACGGCGAGGGATTAAATCCCCGACCCCGAGGTTGGGAAACCAAACGGTTCCGCTGCGCCAAACCGCTTCCACATACAATAGATAAACAAACTATAATATTGTCTTTCGTCTTAGATTTCTGTTCTTTACTTTAATTTCTGTTATATATTTTAGAAGTTATGAATATTTATTTTTAATTTGTTTTTTAAGATATCATGAATGAATGAGTGGACTTTAGGTATAAATCTGTTCAGTGAAGTTATTAATTAAAAAATGGGACACTCTATTAGATATTTATATGAGGACACTTTTATATAATCAACTTGCCCAATAATTAACATTATAGTATAGCAACTTTTTTTCTTGTATTGTTTTCTCCAGTTATGGTGACTCACAAGAAGAAGAAGATATACCATTAGAAGTTCAATACCAATTTCCAAGTGGTCTCACTATCTCTCAAGCTCCATCAGGAGTCAGTGAAAACTGGCCATTTGTTGTTGGCGTATCTGTCCTTGATACCCAGGTATTCAAACAGATATTTGTTTTGGAACATTAAAGTATAATTGTTTTGGAAACTTAACGTCATTCACAGTTAAGATGTTAACTTATTCCTACAATTTTTCACTTTGTAAACGTTCAAGCAGTATACAATTAAAAGTAATATGGTATAACACAATTTTGCCATGGAAGGCATGATGCTGGCAGTCTATCTTTAAGCTTTAACCTTTATTACCTGGTAAATTTGTATCCAAAGACATCCTAATAAGCCCAAAAAAGTGCATACAATTTTGAATCTAAGGCAATAATTATTAGAAACAAATAAAATTAGGAAAAGTTGGAAGGCCCAGTGTACACAATTTGGCTTGTGTGCACTTAAAAGAACCCAGTACATCTTTCGAAACAAGTATCCCCTGTTGTGGACAGACGAGAGTATCTGGTAGTGGTTTACCGGTTAGCTCAGACATGAAGAGAGCCTTAGGGGAGGAGAAGGTTATTGAAACAAGTTACAGTTAGTCCACAGCGCTTCGTGATCCTCAGGAAAATGCGCTTAAATACCATTACCATTACCATCAAAACTCTGAATGTCTTGCAATTGTATGGAACATTTTAATCAATCTCGGCTTTGTGCAAACAAATAGATGTCTTCTTAGATTTTCTTGATAAAGAAACAGGTAAACATCTTGAGCTAAAATCCTTATAAAAAATACCACACATCTTAGAAATAACTGTTTCGAGTTGCCAACTACCAGCTGAATAACGCACCATCTTTAAAATCCCCAGTTCAAACACGTAAATAAATCATTTTATTTCCAGGGCGAAATTGTACAGAATCTTGGGCATTCCTCAAGCCCTTGGAGGATGAAGGTTAGTCTACGAGCTGGCAGTGGACCGGCAGGGGCTCATCTTCTTGGCAATACCACTATTGATATCATCAATGGCCTAGCTAACTTTACAAATATCAAACTTGACGAAGTTGGATCTGGATACATCTTGGATTTTGCTGTGGTCTACCCGAACAGCACAACGCTAATCCCCATCAGTAGTGAAGCATTCTCGGTTGCAGAGCGAATGTTCGCCGCCGTTGTTAATACCCAGCCCACCGGTGATGTAATGGTTGGAGAAAAGTTCGATGTAGGATTTGATTTGGTTGATGTCTTAAGTGGACTGCAAGTGACCACTCTTGAATCTGCCGTGAGTTTTTCGTTTTTCTCAATTTGTTTCTTTTTTCTTGTCTGTATCTTTTTTTTTCAGAGACAACCAGTTTGCGAAAATGTGTCATAATCTCTTGAACTTCCAAAATACAGAACATTTTTTTTCTCGTTGACCAAATGGTCATTTATTTCAATTCTTCCATTTGAAAAAAAAATATACAATAACAATATTTCTTTCAGTTTTCCTTTAGAAAGTAACATAAATAGATTTTTTTTTTAAACACACCAAATTTTACCAAAAGATTTATTTACATACACTTTTGTTTTTTACATTTTTTTCTTATAGAACCTCGCATACCTTGTGATTTAAGTTTACTTAAGGTGAAATAAAAATGACCAATTTTTTACCTTTAAGAATTTTAAATCTTGATTTTACAAATATTAGCTTCCTTTGATAACAAATTCAGTAACATTATGTCTTTCAGGTTTCCTGAAAGAAATAACATAAATAGATATTTGATTATTATTATTATTATTATTATTATTATTATTATTATTATTATTATTATTATTATTATTGTTATTATTATTATTATTATTATTATATAAAAGATTCATTCACATATGCTTTTGTCATTTACATTATTTTTCTCATAGAACCTCGCATATGATTTAAATTTACTTTAGGGGAAACAAACGTTAACAATGTAAATCCTATAGCTAAAAAGTTAATATGTAAATCCAGAACATTTACATTTTTGAACTAATTCTTTCGTCTTTTGTCGTTCGTCGTCTCTCTGAAATTCCTAGCAAGTCCCGCATCTCACTAATAGTTTCGCTACACGACATTAACCTTGACTTTAACGTTGATACCCAACATGCAATGCGATAGCTCTGTCCATTTTATTACAAATCGAAATACGCATGCTCAAACCTCTAACATACGTTGAGCACTAAAATCACTGAAATTAACGTACTCCGCAACGCAAGATGAATAAATTATGACATCATTATTTTCATTCATTCAAACTGATCCTCTTATTTTGAGTGCCTTATGCTTGGGGGTAAGAGTTGCGCCAATAGATGATTAAGAAAAATGTATAATATATATTTATTTATTGGGGTATAGGAAATTACAAAACAACAGCCAAGGGCTGAAAATGGTTATATTGCAGTATAAATTTTACAAAGGTAAAAAAAAATATATATAAAATATCACATACAATTTGCATCAGAAAATTTCAATACAAAACAAGATAGACATTACTGATACACTGATTCACATAATTAAAAAAATAATCAATATATATATATATATATAATATAATTAAATATTTATAAAAATAGTTATTGAATAATATATATATATATATATAATATATATATATATAT